ATGAAAGGGTCATTTGACACCCCCCCATCACAACCCACCACTGAGTTGCAAGGACAAGCTTGAAGGGGAAGGTCAACATTTATACATACATTGTCAAATTTAAGCCTAAAGCAAGTAATCCAAAACAAGTTTAAAGTAAACTTAAAATTTGCTTAAAGTAAGATAATTTTCAAAATCAGGTATATTCTAAAAATTGGTTATAAAAATCAAACAATTCTATTATGTATTATCATGTTTTCAAATACTAGTTATGATTGTTTAAGGTAATAGCCTGGTTTTTTAAAATCTCACTTTATCAAACTGTTTCTAACCAAGATTTTGTTTTACTTAAGATACTCTTTTGTTGTTGTTGATATTTAAAATAAATATACAAAGTTCATTTTACGTAAAAGCAAGGAATATCACTTACATCTCTCTGTTCAGATTCATTCCTTAGCTGCTGACTTTAGCTGACTTCTCTTACAAGGCTTCCTCATGTAGGAGCCTGATGAAACCGCTCATTACCTTATCCTTCTACAGTACATGGTCCAGTCAGTTATACAACTGGATTTAACCTTATGTTAATTATATATTTAACCTTGTGTTATATTGATTCATGCTGACATCGATGTGTAACTTTGTCTCTTAATGTTCTCCACAGAGTTGTGCTGTTTTTACCTCCTGACTGATGTTCTGCATCTTTGCCAACTGTTAAGTTTTACCATGGCCCCTCTTCTGAGGAACTCAGAAAAGCACTGAGAACTGCAGCTCCCCCTACTTATCAGCCTTGAAGCAGTTACTGAGAGATCAACACCCCCAAACTTCTGAAAGCAGTTTGGGTGGCCTCTAGAAGGGAGGCTAATAGGCCATGGGCCATCCAGCTCATCCCTCTTCTTGCCACTCTGGACACTGATTTGGGGACTCAGAAGTTGTACAGCTAGACTGGAGGCTTCTTTGGATCAGTTCACCTGTCTGTCTCACCATCTTAGATCAGCTTGACATCCTTCAAGGCGAGCTGACTCCTTGACATAGCAGTACTCCAAAATTTCTCCAACCTTTCCAGAAAATCTCTCAGTTCTAATCTGTAACCAGATTGTCTGCTTATAGCCCTCTAATAACTGTTTTCTTCAGGAATGCAGGACAGCACTCAATGGTCCATTGTAGCTGATCAAGTTAAGACTCTTTCCTGTTAAGTCACCAGACTATGTCTTCAATGGGCCCAGAACCATCCCCTCCGACAAAGGCCCTCCGTAGCAGAAATCAGCTACAACACTCAATGTGAATAAACATGGTCCCATCTAATATTAGACCACACCTCTCCTTCTGCCTTCCGTTTCTCTAGAGCTGCATTTTAATAATCTAACAGTTTAGAGGCCAGAAAGGACTTGGGTCTCCTGGATCTGGAATTACAGGCAGTTGTAGTCCACCCAACACAGGTCCTGGGAACCAAACTCTGGTCCTAGAGAAGAACAGAAATCAGCCTTGCCTACTGAGTCACCTCTCCAGCCCAAGGATTTCGTTGTTTTTGTCAGTTAGCTGAGATTGTAAGGTTCTATGAGGCATGCCGCTTAGATTTAGGGATTAGGGGAGCTTTAGCAGTTAAACTGAAGGGCACACACATTCTGACCCCATGTAAACACAGTTTGTTGTTTCTGATATCCCCTTTGAGATGTCTCTAGGACAGGCACTGTTTCCGCAGACAGTTCTGAGTTTACCAGCTGTATTGAAACTGCTCAACTCTCAGGCAGCAGGAAATGGAAACTGGGTCCTAGGGTGGAGGGGCTCCTTTCCTTTCCTGTGCTCCCATAGTTTTTTCCTGTCTCTATCCTAACCCAAGTATCCCTAACAGCTGTTTTTAAAATCAAGCATTCTAATACAATACAATCTACAAATATGCTAACTTGATATGTACGTGCTAAGAAATGACAGTAAGAAAATTACAAGCCTTTGTTGTCTGTAAATAAACCATTGTTTGCATCCCCAGAATTTAATAAAAGCTGGGTAGGCATGGCAATCACTTAGCCCAGCACTCGAGAATCAGAAACAAAAGATCCCTGGAGCAAGCTGATTAGCTAGAATAGCCAGAATTGACCAGCTACACACACACACACACACACACACACACACAGAGAGAGAGAGAGAGAGAGAGAGAGAGAGAGAGAGAGAGAGAGAGAGAGAGAGACTTCTTGAAAATAACTAATTTGTGTTAATGTATGTAAATTTGACCTCAGTATTTAAAACTGGAGTGGCACAGTTCTCTACATTCTACTTAGGTGACTTTAATTCTACTTCCAACTTAACTTGTTTATATCGTTAAAACACCTGGCATCTCTCTAAGTCAGCTTGGAGGTGTTAACATCTGATTGTTGCAGTCCGTGCTCATGGGCTCCTTCCAGTTCTCTTCTCAGCACATAATTAATTTATTTTTCTATTCCTAGGGGCTGCAAAGTTGGCAAACATGAGGACCTGAGTTTTATTCACAGCACCCACTTAAAAAGCAAAACCCAAGTCTCAGTGAGACACTGTCTCTCCCTCAAAACCCTTGGTTTTTAAAGATAGAGCTTCCAAGTATAGCTTTGGTTCTCCTGGCTGTCCTGGCTGCTGGAACTCGCCATGTAGACCAGGCTGCCTCCCCAGGCTGGGATTAAATTAATGCACCACCCAATTTAGGAACCTCTCTCTCTCTCTCTTTAATTAATTTATTTATATTTTATGTATGAGTGATCTGCATGTATACTTGTACACCTGAAGAGGGCATCAGATCCTATTACATATAGTTGTGAGCCGTGCGTGTATGGTTACTGGGAATTGAAGTCAGGACCTCGAGAAGAGCAGCCAGTCCTCTTAACTGCTGAGCCATCTGTCCAGCCTGGAACCAATCTCTTAAACAACAGTTCCTCTATGCTATTCTGGACTTTGCACGGTCTGAGGCCATGGGGCTCTTCAGTTTGTCAATTGCCCTCATCCTCTTTGCCATGTGAGGCTCCATGGGGTCACAGCTTCAACTCTGCTAGTCCTGGTGCTAGAGTGTGCTAAGCTTTAACATTAAATTAACCTCTCTCTCTCTTTCCCTTTCTCTCTCTCTCTCTCACACAGACATCTCATCTATCTATCTATCTATATCTATCTATCTATGTATCTATCTATCTATGTATCTATGTATCTATGTATCTATCTATCTATCTATCTATCTATCTATCTATCTCTTGGTTTTTTGAGCCAGGGTTTCTCTTTGTAACAGCCCTGGCTGTCCTGGAATTCACTCTGTAGACCAGGCTGGCCTTGAACTCACAGAGATCCGCCTACCTCTGCCTCCTGAATTGTAGGATTAAAAGTATCCCCCACCACCACCCGGCCAACATTTCTCGTTTTGAAAAAGAATGACATCCAAGGTTGACCTCTGACATACACACACACATAATTTTTTTCTGCTTCCGACTAGATGTGGTTGATATCTATAAGCACATTGATTTTTGGGTATGGACTTTGCATTTTGCAACCTTGCTGTCCTCAAAGATTCATTCAATTCTCTTCTTCATAGATTCCTTGAGACCCTCTACAAAAATATCACATCTATTACCTGTTAATAGAGATAGTTTCACATCTCCATCTACAATCTGCATGCTTCTCGTCTCCTTGCTTTACTTTTCTGGCTAAGATGTCTTGTGAGTATGGAATAATTATGGCCAGAGTGAAGAGTCCCATCCTGCAACCAGGCCAATGCAAGTCTGGCTGTCAAAACTTCACCCACACTCCTACTAGACTGAAGATGTCCCTTTCTGGTGGCGGCGAGCATTTGTCACGAACTGACACTGGACTCCATCCAGCCCTGGTTCTCCACTGTAAATGTTTATATGTGGTTGCTGATGCTTTTTTTTTTTTTAAACAATCATTGCTTTATGAGATAATGCCAACATCTGTGTAGTCTCAGAGCTGGTGTTTCCTGCTTGTCACTTCCTGTGTGAACTGAAATTTCCCTGGTTCTTTCCTGCTGAGTTAGCAGGATAAAATCCAAAGGTTTTATCCTGTAGTTCAGCATTTTTGATGATAAACATCTTCGGTTGAAATTCAGAGCACTAGGCTATGTGTGGTGACACATGCCTATATTCCTAGCATTCACAGGAAAGAACAGGAGTTCAAGGTCATCTTTGGCTACAGGACAAGTTAGACACTAGACTGTCTCAGAAGAAGAAAGAAAGGAAAGAAAGAATCTAGAACCTTGAAGTAGAGGCTTGGGATAACCTTTCCCAAGGCTAACCATTATTTTTAGGTGGACATGGTTTGTAGATTTCCCAGCCTTTATGACTTGTAATATTTTTGCAAGTACATGTATAAGTGATGTGTGTGTGTATGTATGTATGTATGTATGTATGTATGTATGTATGTATGTGGTGGTTTGAAGGAAAATGGCTCCCAAAGGGAGCCTATTAGGGGGTGTGACCTTGTTGGAGGAAGTGTATCACTGTGGAGGTGGGCTTTAAGGTCTCATATGTTCAAGTCACTCAGTGTTTCAGATCACTTCCTGTTGCCTGTGAGTCAAGATGTAAGAACTCTCCTGACCCAGTGCCCAAACCTTGCAGATGCTGAGGTCTTCAAAATCCACCAACCAGAGCAAAGCTGGTATTCTCTGACCTCATCCTTTCTAGTCGGCTGGCATACACTCTACCTGTGGTAATTCATAGAAGATGAATCATAAGTCAGCTTCTGGCCAGATCAAGCAGCCAGTGAGAAGCCACACTTGAGGGCTCCTAACTCTGGCTTTCCAACATGAGCCATGACCCAGGGACAGGCCATTAGCTGGAGCTTAACGGTGATGTAGCCAGCTTCACTAGGCACCTCGGAGGAGATAAGAAAGGGCTAGGTGTCTACTCTGAGGTCACAGCAAGCTGTCTGCACAGAGGCTGGGGACTAGCTGAGGACTGACTAGCATGGGTAGAGGTCAGAGGACAATTTTGTGGGATTATTTCTCTTCAACCACCTTCATGTGGGTTCCAAGGACCTAACTTAGAGAAAGATTATCCATGCTCCCTTTGGCAGCACATATACTGAAACTGGAATGATTCAGAGATTAACATGGCTCCTGCACAAGGATTCCATGCAAATTCACAGAGCATTCCATATTTATAAGAAAAAAAAAACATCCCAAAGCTGTCACAGTGGTACATGCCTAGGACCTCTGTCTGCACTTGGGATGCTGAAGTAGGAGGAACACTTGAGCCCAAAGGTCTGAAGCCAGCCTGGATAGCAGAGTGAGAGCTCATCTGGGATAGCAAAGAAGGGAGGTAGGGAAGGAAGGGGAAATGGAGGGAGAGGGTGAGGGTGAAGGAAGGAGAGGGACAGACACACACAGATACAGACAGATGGAAGAGACTCACTTCAGAGTCTACTACAGCTGTTGAGAGGTGAATGAGGGGGATCATTAGGCAGGCCCAGCGCACAGTCAGAGGTAGTCAGGGAGAGACAGAAGGCCTTATTGCCCAGCTGGGGATAATCAGCAGATGGCCCCCGTTGTCAGCCTCCCCACTGAAGCCTTGCCCAGCCACACCATCCAAGCGAGGCAGCTAGCTTAGCCCAGTGTGGGACATTCTCGTGGTCCCTTTCTCTCCTTTTCCAGGTGCTGACCTACAGTCTACACACTGGACCACAAACTCTACTCCCAAGAGGATACTATTGGGGGGGCTTCCTGCTGGGAAGTGGCCATAGCACTTCTACAGTCTTAACCTGTCCAACCAGAGGAAGACTGCACCTCCAAACTCCCCAGCCCTGAGACACCCAGAAAGGCCCCAGGTGGGACACGACCTTGGTCCTACTGAGCAGATTCAGAGAGGCTGCACAGCCCCAAGACAGGACAACACAGGTTGTGAGGCTCAGTCAGTGACCACAAGTCACACACATCCCCTGTGTCCTGTGGGAAGTAGTCAAGGCACCTCATTGTGTACCAAACAGGACCTTCTTAATGAACCAATGTACTATAGCTCCTGCCATCTCTGGACCTTTGCATATGCTGGGCAGGTGCTGAGGCTGGTCTTACTCAACTTCCACTTTCTGAGGGGCCAAGGGAAGCAGCTGCTTCTCCACTGAATGCGTCTCTGCATTCTGACCTCCCATTGCACACAGCACACATGAGTATCCATTCGGTGACTAGAGAGAAACAGGTCACAAAGCTAGAGGCATTCTGAGAAGCCCTGTTCCCCCATGGAAACCCTAAGTCCCCGACTGTCTGCCACTTCAGCCCCACTCTGGGATAGTACTGTGAATGTTGCCTGGACCCTTAGAGGTGACACATTCATATCTGACCCATCTGTGTCCCTGCTGAGTAACCACCGTGCCCCCAGATCAGGGCAGATAGGCAAACGGCTTTAGTCTAATCCCTGACCCAACCTCAGGTCTGTGCAAGGTGTATACCTTCTTCCAAAGTTCTTTGCAGTTGGGTCCTAGCAGTCCTTACCCTCAGCCTGGTCTCTCTAGCCTTGAGCTGAACCACACAGGTGTTGCATGGCTTTTCCTGGGGAACAAGAACAAACGTCTGTTCACCCCAGGTAGGACATCAATGACAGACCATAGAGAAAGTTCCGAGTCTAGCTTGTGAACCAATGAGTTTATCAGAATTACCGACAAAAGCATGGATGTGGTGGTTAAGCCTGTTAACTTGATGGGATTTTTGAATCACCATGGAAACAAGCCTTTAAGTACATCCATGAGGAAGTTTCTACATTGGAGCTGAGGTGGGAAGACATTCCCTAAATGTGGACAGCACCATTAACATGTGCTGTGTTGTCCAATAAGCAAAAAACGGAGAGAGTGAGCAGAGCATTTCTCTTTCTGCTTTCTAACTGCAGACATTGTTTAGATGGAAGCCCTACTGATGCCTTGTCTATATATCCAAAGAGGCTGGGATGTTTGGGAGCCCCATTCCAAACCCCGCCCTCAGGGTGCCAAGCGGAGGGTTCCTCCCCCCCCCCCCCCCGAGTTGCCTCAGTCCAGACTTCGTCCCTAAAAAGCCTGCCATTTGGCAGCTCCATCTGAAAGATTTTAGTTTGCAGAGCAAGGATGTGGGAAAGGGGCAAGAAAATAATTCTTGCAAGTGGAATATAGAAAATCATAAAGAATGGATGTTGACATGGGAGGAAAAAACAGGAATTATGAGAACAAGAAAGTTACCATGTTGGGGGGGCTAGTGGTTATATGCTAGGCTGATCTTGTTAAATAGGGCTAGTAACTGAATCATCAATCTCCTGTGAAATAACTGAAGTCTCTCCCAGGTTGTGGCCCACATCAAGGAACAGATGGGTCCAGATGAACGGTCCTGGCCGGGTCATCCCTGACCAACCGACAGCCTGGGGTCTCTCCCTGTCATTATGTTGTTTTTCCTTTAAAGAAGAATAGGTCACACCTGGGTGATCTCTCAAACATGAATTTATACTTTGTACTTCGTAATTATACTCTGTAGTCAATCACCTGGTGCCCTATGCATGTATGCCGCTTTGCACCCTTTAAAAAGGGCCTGGGCCCTCTGAGGGGTGTGCAGCTTTCCCCGAGATTGCTGACACCCAAGTGCATCGGTCCAATAAACACCTCTTTCTTGTTGCATCACCTGGTTTTGGTGTTTGTGTCGCGGGGCTCTCCCACCGGCCCATCAGGACCCCAGAATTAGGGTCCAACACACCCCCGAGGGCATCAAAAAACCCCACCTCTGGGTACACCTCGTGGTTTTCTCCTACCCCTGGGGCCACCCAGGAATGCTTTGCTCATCCATTTTAATAGTTTATTTTCTCATTCTTATGACAAACTACCTGACAAAAGAGGCTTAAAGAAATGTGCAGTCCGTGGTGGAACATCACGGCAGCAGGAATATTAGGCATCTTGGTCACTATTAAAATGGCTGAGGGATTACTCACAAAAGTGTGTAGGTGACTCAGGCATCAGCCAGGATGACAAGACATGAAAGCTGTATGGCTTGAGTTCCCCACTTGTAGGCAACTCTGCTGAAACATCTCCTTGTCTCCAGCAATTATCTGCTCTTTCTATAACCTGGAGAAGAGTGGGGAAATCTCTTGTGAGTTCCTGTAACACTTTCCTTGTATTCTTTGTTTTGGTTTTGGTTTTGGTTGTTGCTTTTAAATATTTATTTATTATGTATACAGTGTTCTGCCTGCAGGCCAGAAGAGGGCACCAGATCTCATTACAGATGGTTGTGAGCCACCATGTGGTTGCTGGGAATTGAACTAAGGACTTCTTGAAGAGCAGCCAGTGCTCTTAAACTCTGAGCCATTCAGAGTTTGGTTTTGGTTTTTCAAAACAGGGTTTCTCTGTGTAGCCTTGGCTGTCCTGGAACTACTTCTGTAGACCAGGTTGGTCTTGAACTCACAGAGATCGTCCTGCCTCTGCCTCTTGAGTGCTGGGATTAAAGGCGTGCACCACCACCAGTACCTCCAGCAACTCTCTTGTTTTCTTGAGAGATTCCTCAATTTCCTTCCAGAGGGGATGTTTCACTAGAACAAACAGCTAATAACCATTGGAGATGCCCACACACTTGGTCAGTGCAGTCCAGGGTAAATCACAGAGTCTGAAGCCATGAAGCAAGCCTGGTTTGGGCAGAAGTCTCACCCTCCTGGTGTCACCTGGACTGGCCAATCTGCCTCAGCAGTCGTCTTACCCACTTCTGCTGCTGTAATGTCAACTGCCCCCAGCTCTCTTTCACTATACTTGGACTCAAACCTTACCCTTATCCCTATTGCCTCTGAACCAGCAGCACCCCTTCCGGGTCTATTCTTGTCTGGTTTCCCGTGCCTAGCTCAATGTTTGCACAGAATGGGTCTCAACAAACCCAAGCAAAGGGTCTCAGCCAAAGCCTCCTTGAGACCTCGGGAACACAAGAGCACCCCTTGGGTCCTACTAGTCCAGGTTCTATGCCAGGAAGGCAAGTTAAGCATCTCTGGTTAAAGAGAAAGATGCTGTCTGTGCAAAGCTGGCTCATGGTCCTCCTAGTCCCCATGGGGGTCTGGCAGAAAACTGCCTGGGAAGGAAAGAGGATGCTGGCCAGCCCTAGAGCTCCAAGCACTTGATTCCTCCAAACACAGGACTCTGACCAATCATGCAATAGTTGCAATACTGCAGGCCTCTGCCTGATGCTAGTAACAGTTCTCCCCGCCCCCAAGCCTTCGACTGTATCTCATCTCCAGTCACTCCTCTCCAAACAGAACATAGGCTGGGACTAATGAATAGGAAGAACCACGACTTGGAAGGGACACCGGTGAGTCCTCAGCTTCCCAACAGCGGGCTAATCCCTGAAGGGCCACTTGGGGGCTCCAGGCACTATCCAGTGCGGCAGAAAAGGGGGATTGCGATGCAGGGACACGCGGAGGGGGCGTGGGGAGTAGCAGCTATCCCTTGTGCTTACTTATGTTAGACAAACCCACTCTGCCAAGAGTCGGAGTGGGGCACTTGGAAAACAAAGCCTGCGGGGACCGGCGCAGGCAGCGGACAATAGCAAGTAAAGGGAAATAGACAGGCTGGGCTACGGTGAGGCCACATCCGTGCAAAATAGTACGGTGAGGCACAGACTGAGGGCACAGGTCCCGCAGGAGATACTTTAACCACTTCTATCTATCTAGGGCAAGGTGTTCCCAGTCCTAACACGAAGGAGAAAGGCCGCAGAGCCGGACTTTGCGTAGAGGTGGACCACTGATGTTTAATCAAGGTTGTTTGGGCCAGGGTGAAACCTGCAGAACCCAGCATTGCAAAAGGTGGGGCGGACCCTCGCTCGGCTTGGGGTGGAGTCTAAGAGGGAAGGGCGGGACCTCATCGTGCTAGGGCGGATCTAATAGAGCTCAGGCGGGCTCAAAGATCTCAAGGATGGGGCCTCCGCGATGGAGGCGGGGCCTTGCCGCTTGCTCCGCCTCACCGTGATGCGTCTGTTGTGGTCGGTGCAGGCAAGAGTAGGTACGCGCGTGCGCATAGCGCATGGGTCGTAGCGCTGAAGGCTCCCGTGGATTATCCCTGCAAATGGGTTCCGCGGCCTAGCGCCCCACGCATTACCACCCGTGATCGTGCACCAAGGTCTGCGAGGAGGGGTCGCCGCCGAGGTGAGGGTGGCGGTAGTAGTGGAGGTGGTGGCAGCCGGCTGGGGGAGGCGCGCGCCTTCTAGGGGCCGGGCGCGTACAAAGCGCCTTTGTCTCCCGGTGCAGCCGGTCCGGGCTGGTTGGAGCCACCCGGAAGCCTGGCGGCTGACAGGGCTGAGGGACTTGGAACCCACTTCTCTGTAGTGACCAGGCCCACGTTTTGCTCAGATCTCTCCACAGCGCGCGGGTCCTGAAGTATGGCAGCCATCCCTTCCAGCGGCTCGCTCGTGGCTACCCATGACTACTATCGGCGTAAGTAGCCCCTCGCCGGCCCCGCCCAGAGCTGGGCCAGCGCCCTGTGGCTGACCAGCCTCCCCTCCCCAGGACGCCTGGGCTCCTCGTCCAGCAACAGTTCCTGCGGAAGTGCAGAGTACCCCGGGGACGCCGTGCCTCACCCCCCGGGTGAGTGCAGAACCAGCCAGCCTAAAGGCAAAGTTCACATCCTGAGGTGGGGAGAGCGTGGGACAGGACCCCGCTGGGACGGCAACATCCTGACCCTCCTTTGCACCTCTCAGGTCTCCCCAAGGCCGACGGTGGCCACTGGTGGGCCAGCTTCTTTTTCGGGAAGTCCACCCTCCCATTCTTGACCACAGTGTTGGAGTCTCCTGAACAGTGAGTCCATCTTCCATTAGGTTGTGGGAGTGGTCCCAGTTAAAACAGCTTCTGACTTATCCTATCCCTGCAGCTCGGCAGAATCCTCCCAGGCCTCCAGAAGCCCGATCACCCGTGGCCTGGCTCCTGAAACCATGAAGCAGCAGCAGCCAGTCATCGACCCTGACCAGGCCAACACGAGGGCCCCGTCCTGACCTAGCAGAACTTCAGCAAACTCAACTTCAGCGGTGCTAGGCCAGAGCCCGATCCATGCACCCTACCCTGTAAAGTAGGAAGGCTGTAGCAAGCAATAGACACCAGCTGGAGAGAGCCCCTCCCCCACACACACACCTGGTTCACAGCACTGAGCTTTCCTGACCCCATAACTGTGCCTTGCACCGAGCAGAAAATAAACTCCCAGCAGCCCTCCTCCCCGTGATGTGTTTGAGACCTTACTGAATCCAGCCTTTCTTCTTGCTCGGTACTGCCCAGCTCCTAGGTCTTACTGACAGCTCCTTTGAGACCCTTCCTGTCGGGAGTGGTCTTTGCGGGGGCTGCAGTTGGAGCCAGCCAGCCAAGCAGTCCCAAGTCCGTACCTGACTGAGTGGGGGAGTGTGGATGAGGGAAAGGCTAGCTATAGATAATAAAAACAGAATAAAGGTCAGGAGGGTAGATCAGTCAATACTGAAATGCCACGTTTTATTTTTCACCACTCATATATCATAACCAAAAAGTGGAACACAGTATCATGTATATGGAACAGACTTTTCTTGCTCACTCATTCCAAGGGTTCAGTAACACCACCTTAACTCTAACTTCTTGTTCCCTAGCCTTGAGAGTCAGGAGTAGCCACACCTCAGATTCAGGTCTGTTGTTATTTAGACTAAGATACCCTTCTGTAGCCACACCTTTGACCTTTAGGTCTTACGACTTGCTGAGGACAGCTTTGAACTCTCTGTCCTTGTGCCAAGATGGAGTGCAGCCATCTTTATGGGCACCCATACCTTCCCAGTGATATACCCAGATCTGGTGAGATGTCCTCTCAAGTGGGCCTGGCCAAAGAAGCTGGGGTACCTCTGTTCCTAGAGAGCTTAGGGTAGCAGTTAACCTCTAGGTAGACAGTCCAGAGGAGACTGGGCCTGTGGCTGAGTTTGGGAGCTCTCAGCTGGAGGCACCCTGGCAGATGACCTTGCTGCATGGATGGCTCCCCAAGATTGGAGATGCTGGCACAGACTGAGAGGGTATTCTAGCCACAAGTAGTCTAGCCTCAGAGTAAGAGGGTATAGGAACCCTGGAGGGTGACTTCAACTAGCAAGGGAAGCAGTCTGTGTATGGCACACCAGGCCCTTCTGCTGTCTCGCCCATCTGCCATAAACAAAGCACTGTCCCTAGGGAACTGAAGGCCAGTGCCTTGACAACTGAGCCTCCCACCTGCCTGCCCTTGGGGTGTCCAGGTGGCTTGTGGAGGAGGAGGAGGAGGCTCTTCCCACCTTTGGGCTTAGTACAGGAAATGTGTTCCACTGAGGCTGCAGTATCCAGACAATGCCCACAGAGCTGCTGATTGCAGCTGCTCATTGTCAGAGCTGGAAGCCGGGACAGCCCACAGCTCTGGGTAGCCTGTAGCACTGTTCCACGGTCACAAGACTGTTCCACAGTCACAAGGGTTCCTCATTTGTGAGTTGTAGTTTCTCTGAAGCCCTGTCGGGTTGTACAGCTGCAGCCGGCAGAGCTGGGAAGTGGCTATTTTAGTCACTGCAGAAGGTTTAGGAAACAGCTGGGGATAGCAGCGGTATAAAGCGTGATCCTAAGAGAGTAAAGAATGTGGGATCCACTCTGGATCTTGGGTGGTAAAACATCGTAAGAGATGGGCCTGGTGCTGGGTACACGGTAGCTTCTGGAATAACCCCTTAACGATTTCAGACAAAGTAGGGCAGATCTGTTTACAAGTGGTCTGCTGGTTTACCCCATGCAAGGAAACTTCGATGTCAGGCCCCTGTATTTGTGACATGGGGACATGTCTCAGAATCTCAGGTTAGACTTTGAAAGTGTGTTCAAGCCAGGCAGCCACAATCCATGCTATACATGCCACAAAACTTTTTGCCAGCAGCTCCTGTGGGTTTGGGTAGCTCCCTCTTCAAAAAGTCCTGTGGCTTCTCTAGTCATACTTTCTCATGGTGAGGCAGCCATATATTAAAGAGCCAGGCCAGTACTCCGCACAAGGCCTTGCCACTGTGAAGTCACCCTTAGTTACCCAAGTTATTCACTACCTGGAGCTGAGGAATTAGCTCAGTTGGTAAAGAAAGGCTTACCCTGCAAGTGTGAATATCTGAGCTCGACCTTAGATGTGGTAGTGCCTGTTAACCTCAGCCCCGGGGTGCAGATCCTTGGGCTTAGCTAGCCACCTACCCTAGTCTAATTGGTGAGAGCTCCTTTCTTTTAGAATGGCACTGGAGGAACAACACTTGAAACTGTCCTCTCACTTTCTCGTGCAAATACAGAGTACCAGATAGTAATGCATAGAAAAGTCAGGAAGGAGAAAGGGACACGTTTCACCTTTCACAAAGTAAGGTAGAGAAAGGGGAAAGATCACTTAAGACAGCGATTCTAAGACGATATGGATGCCTGTGTAACGTAAACACCCTGGAAGAGTAGTTGATAGATACTTCTCATCTCCAAGAGGCAAACATTCGTGAAAGGAAGCCACGGTTAAGGAGCTGTTAATTTTCTATGACACATGTTTAAGTATAATTTAATTATACCTGGATATACCAGATTTTCAGGAATTTTCTACTGCTCGTATGAATAACACCTGTAACAAATACAACCTAAAGAAGGCATTATGTTTTAGTATTTGACAAAGCTTCCCATGGCATCAAATAAGCCTAGTTTAATTGCTCTCTTTTCATAAAAGAGAAATCCTGAGGCTGCAAGCCCCCCTATGGAAACTTAAAAGTTAGGAGAATTGAACCTAGAGTTGGTTTCAGAATTGTCAAGCACTTGATTAGGTATGACCTTAGTTATCTATTCAAGTGAACTAATAAGATGTTTAAAGGAAATCTAGGTTATGTGGTTGAGCAAAACTTGTCCTTCAATAAAAGACTGAGTTATACACAACATGAAGGAAACATGAGATTCAACACAAACTCTAGGCTGGTTACCTAAGTTAAACTCATTTAAAATTGCAAGAATTGGGAACTTGTAAATAGACATCTTTCATGCTAAACTAGTTTTATGTCTACACTAAATTATTCTTTTTTTTTTTTTTTAAGGGTGGGGCGGATGTTTAGGACAAGGTCTTGTGTTGCCCCAAGTTGGTCTTAAACTTGCCATGTTGGAGAGGATGCCTTTGAACTTTTGACCCTCCTGCTTCCACCTCCCAGATACTAGGATTTCAGGTGTGTATCACCATGCCTGATTATTCGGTGCTGTGGATGGAACCCAAGACTCTTATGCTTATTAGGCCAGTGTGCTACCAATTGAGCTACAGCCCCAGACCCTAAGCTAATTTAAAATAACTAAATTGCTGGGCAGTGGCTGTGGCACGCCTTTGATCCCAACAGTTGGGAGGCAGAGGCAGGTGGATCTATGTGAGTTGGAGGCCATTCTGGTCTACAGGGTGAGTGCCAGGACAGACTCCAAAGCTACACAGAAAAACCCTCTGAATAAATCCTTTTAGTCCTTAGCTGTGACATGAGATAAGATTCCATTCTATCAGGCCTTGAGTATCTAAGAAGTATCAACAAGCTGGATGTGGTGGTGCATGCCATTAATTCCAGCACGGAGGCAGCCTGGTCTGTAGAGTGAGCTCCACCACAGCCAGAGCTACACTGAGAACCCTGTCCCCAAAAATGGGGGGGGGGAATCCATCAGCTTTTTCTCCCTATTTTTCTTTTTCATCATCTGTAACACTCAGTGGTTATCTTCCTCTCTGAATGCAGTTTTCCTTGTCTGCTTTGCACACAGGTGGTTTTTCTTGTTATTTCCAGTGGTTCTAACTACATATATTATCATTCTTAACTCTTACATTCCCCATTTCTAGTGCAAACTGGGAAGTAAGCATCCATGAACTATGGCTGTCAGCATGCCACTGAAGAAAAAAACCTTGCAGGCACTGTAGCAGCATGTCCTGATGGGAGATGTCATTCTGTATATAAGTTTCTCATACTGGTTAATGAATAAAGCACTGTTGGCCAATAGGAAAGCAAGATAGGCGGGACTAGGAGACAAGGAGGATTCGAGGAAGTAGTAGGGAGGAGTCAACATGGAGAGACCTGGGAGACCAGACACCTGCCCCACTCCCCAGGAAGGTGAAACCACGTGGAAATACATAGATTAACACAAATGGGTTAATACTTAAGACAGAGCTAGCCTATAAGAAACTAGTACCTGGCCAACAGCATTATATCAAATACAGAATCTCAGTGTGTTATATGGGGCTGGCTCGACGGCGGGACAAGACCAGCGGCGGGCGGAAAAAACCATACTCCTTACATCCTTCAAACTGCACAGGTTCTCATACTTACTACAGGCCCAAGCACACCTAACTCCTCTGCTCTGTGTAATATCAGGAGGCCACAGGCAGATCAGCTTAAGTTTATGTTTCCTTAAGAATTACTGCAACAACGCTGAATTAATGACTAAATTTCTCAAATCTGAACAAACTTAAGGATGTAAGATGACTTTCATTGTTAAAAAGTTTATTTGAACTTTCACCCGACTTACATTCCTATTCACTCATCAGCTATGGGCATGAAGGTTTCACAAGGTGTCACCACAAAGCTGTTCTTGGTGACAAATCAAGCAAATGTCACCAACACCACAGAAGCAAAGACCACCATCCCCTCAAGTCCTTCCTCTGTATGCTGCTCTTGGGTTCCATTTCTGGTTTCAGAATGTTAAATACTCAGTGAAATTAACAAACTTGTTTAAACCCTGGAAATGGAAAAAAAAAAAAAAAAAAAGCCTAGTAGTTCAGTGATTCTCAACCTGTGGTTCATGACCCTCTTGTCAAACCTCTATCTCCAGAAATATTTACATTATGATTCATAAGAGAAGCAAAGTTATAGTTATGAAGTAGAAACAAAAATAATTTTATGGTTGAGGTTCACAATATGAGTAACTGCATTAAAGCATTAGGAAGGTTGAGAACCACTGGTGTAGCTGTATTGTATTTAGGGTTGACATGTCTAAAAACATACCTGTTTTTAATTTTACCAGCACTCATAAAAATTATTCTAAATCATAATATTAACATTTGACCTTGTTTCTATATTTCTGAAAGGTTTTAGGGATACTTAATGAACACTCATCTTTAGACCAATCTGAACAGAAATATAAGAGTTATTTTTTTCTTTTGTTTTTTTTGTTGTTGTTTTTATGGGTTTTTAAAATGGTTCTGTATTGTTTTGTTTTGAGAGAGGATCTCTCTATGTAACTCTGACTGTCTAGGAACTAATTATGTAGACCAGGCTGGCCTCGAACTCACAGAGATCCGCTTGCTTCTACCTCCCGAGTGCTGGGATTAAAGGTGTGTGCTACCAAGCCTGGCCCAAATTCTGTTCTTGGCAAAACAATGAAAGTTTCAATTATTTAGAGAAAGTTTTCGACTAATGTCCATACAAAAGACTTAGATCCTAAGAATTTTCATTTGCCCTGTTTCCAAATGTTCCTCTGTGTTCTCCCTATCTAGTGACAGTTATATCTCTGAGAACTGTGTTTTTAAAAGACAGCTTGACTTTACAGGAAGCAGAATAGACAGACAGCGTCATCTCTCGGACACAGAGAGGACATTTCCTCAAGAGAGTTTCGGGCATGTTCACCCATCTTGAGATATGTGCTGTGAGGGTTATGCCCACTTCCAGTAAGGCAGCCTCAGCTTTTAGGGTACTCTCTCCTCCTCAGAACTGGGGCCCTAATGTCCAAGCTGACATGGAGAGCGGATAGTCTGGCTGGGATTAAGGGGTCAAGCGTGGGTTCAAAAACACTGGAGACACATGGGGAAAGCAGACTTGGACCAGAGCTATCTGGGAAGACTCAGGTCCAAACGGGGAAGGGTGAATGGAGGAAGAGGCAGAGCACCAAGGCAGTAGTTTTTCTGAGAATGTTCTGTCTCAGGAGCTCAGGAAGGAAATAGCTATCTCTGAAGGGAAAGGACCTAAAGTTCTGAAACTTGTTCTGTGGCACAAGAACCAGTCAAAGCAAGGGGCCAAGGGGTGGGGTGCATGTGGACAATTGAGCAGAGGAGTGACCAAGGACAGGTATGCTCTGAAGGTCAGGCCTGTTGCTTAGACTCTTGATTTCTCTGTCACGTGAAGTCTTCACAGGAGATGGGAGGAAGAAGCCAGGACGGCTGTCTGGATTTCGTGGACTGCCTCCTGGAAGCGAATAGATGGGAAGAGAGTATGGCTCCTTCTTCACTCCTTGACAGCATGCAGTATCTGAGGTATGTTTGACACATTGCCTATCCCAGTAAGATGAAGGATATTGTACACCTTCGATGGAGGTCCAAGGTAATCATGAAGCCTCTCTTCTGTGGGTCCTGGCCACGTCCAAGGAGCTCAGACCAGGTTCTCATACCTGGTGATGCCTAAGAGTTTCTCACACAGTTCTTTGAAGCAAGGTCTCTGCTTGGGGTCCTGGCTCCAACAGCTGAGCATCAGCTTATACATGTTGGGTGGGCATTCCAGGGGGCATGACATGCGGTAGCCGGCATCTACCCTCAGGAAGGCCTCATGATTGGACATGCCTGTGGCCCATGAGAGAAGAGAAATGAGAGTTAAGAGGCTGGTATCCACCCTCCAATCCCTGGAGGCCACACCCAGCTGCCCTTGGCCCCTTCCTGGATGCTGCCTCCAACAAGAATGACCACCACATGCTCGGGACATTTTCCAGCATACTGTGGCTGTTGCCTTCCCTGAGGACAGTGTCTCCTGGAGGTGATCTCAACAGCATGCTTCTGGATACTCAAGGAATGGAACAGGGGTGAGATCTGGTTGAGACTATGGAAAGGGCCTCCAGTCATCTCAGCCATTCAAGACCTGCCCCCACTCCACCTCACTGCCTATCAAGATTTGGGGGGGCATTCTTGGGGCAATACCTGGGTAGGGCATCTGCCCCCTGCTGAAAATTTCATGAAGGAGAACCCCGAAAGACCAGACATCAGATTTGATGGAGTAATGCCCTCGGGAGAGTGCCTCAGGTGCTGTCCATTTGTAGGGGATGTTGTGGTCGTGGGAAAGGTAGATGTCTTCCTGTAATAAGATGGCTTATGGTAGGGCCCTGACACTGGAGAGAAGGCCACTTGTACCCTTCCTGTGCAGCATGGACAAGCATGGATGCCAAGGTTCTAATGGGCAGGTGTAAACACACTGCCTTATCATCTGACCTATTGACATCACCCCTCTGCTACCAAAGGCAGCTGCCACCAATGCTGCTAGAATCACAGCCAGGCTCTGTGTATCAAAAGTGCCAGTTAGTTCACTGGGATTCTGGGCACCAGGAGGGCACGACAAGGAGACAGCTGCAATGTGTGGGGACAGGGAAAGCTCAGTGTATGTGGCTATGTCCAGGGTACCCAGAGCTGGACCAATGTGGCGTAAGCAAGGCTGTGGCTATATGAATGAAGCCATTGCTTACCTATTAACACCACCCTATCAAGAACTCATCTTGCATGTGGCTGGATTCAGCTCAAGGCTTGGGAAATAAAACCCCATATCCTGCTGTAGGCTTCTACCTCTGCGAGTCCTACCTTGACAAGCCTGGCCAGCCCAAAGTCCCCCACTTTGCAGAGATTGTTCTCTGCAACAAGAACATTCCGAGCAGCCAGGTCACGGTGGATGTAATTCCGAGATTCCAGGTAGCACATGCCCTCAGCAACCTGGGATGCAAAGTCCACCAGCTCCGAAATAGGCAGGGCTTTCTCATCAGAGTCTAAAGGGTGATCAGAGGCCAGAGTCAGGTGGCCAGAACTCAGTCCCCATTTGTTGGGGCTATAAAGGCTCCGACAAAGGGCAGCTGGTCTGGCTTATTTAGAAAGTGGACAGTCCTAGACCTTCTGCAGTACTTAGAGACAAAGAGCACACACGCTCTTTGTCCCACACACTTTCTGGGAATTGCAAAGCAATCTGAGGGCAAAGATGTTGCTGCAAGATATTCTTGGTATAGTGTAGCCACTGAACTCTCTAGATGTTGCGCATCCAACAAGCGCTGCTACTGTTGTAATTTAAGAAATTACATTGGAGAAAGGTGCCATGAGGCAAGGTTGAAGCAGACGTTTTTTGTTTGTTTGTTTTTTGTTTTTGTTTTTTTTTTTTTAAATAAGGACAGAGATCATAAAAAAAGGGGGAGGGTGGAGACCAGCCTCCGGGGATGGGAGGAGGAGAAAGGAATGGGACGGGAGAGAGAAAAAAGAGAGGGGGGCAGACAAGGAGAAGAGAAAGAGAGAGGTAGGGAAAATAGTGAATACACACAGGTGGTGCTCTGAGTGGCTGCAGCTGAGAGTGTATCCTGTCAGAACCCCAAGGACAGGCCAGTACAGATACCTGAATACTAATAGCTACACCTACAAGGGGCATTTAATCTCTGAAGACTACACAACCTTACTCTTCCAGATGCTAGTGATATGTTAATACATATACACCCAGGCATGATTGGCCTACACTGCCACATTCCCTTTCCCTGTTGTACGAAGTTGGTGGCATCTTAGCACAGAATCTCAGCTGGCGGAGATGGTCTGGTTTTGTTTTGAAGAAAACAGTGGTGTGTGTCCTCTTGTAGGTGAGATGAGCTGTATCTACATGTGTGAGGGTATGCCTATGCCATGTGTGAATGTCTGTATTTGTGTATGGCAGTGTTTTACATGTGTTTGGGTATAAGGATGCATGGGTATGGCTGGGCAGCAGGTCTCAGGAAGAAGAGAGACGCTGGTGGGCTGAAGCAGATCACTAGCAGGCTACATAAAGCCTATAGTAAGTGACCTCAGTTAACTGAGCATATAGAAATTGTGGCTGGGTGTTCTTTTATGTGTTTATCTATAGCTCAAATATTATGATCAGTGACTGGTAGGTTTGTCATACTTTATTTCATTTGCGTTTTTATTTGTTGTATATGTATGTGTATGTACACATGTGTGTGGAGGTCAGAGGACAGCCAAGGGTGTTAGTCTTCACCACTGATATATTCAAGGAGGGTTTTTGTTGTTTCCTGCAGAGCCAGATAAAACAAGGGTTTTCCCATTTCCTCCCATCTCACTGTAGGAGCCTCGGGATAACAGATGTGCGCTTCTATGCTTAGCTTTACGTTAGCTCTGGAGACTCAAACACAGGTCCATGTGTTTCTTCATGGCCTGGATCTCAGGCTGGAAGGTGTGCTGGTGCAGGAGGTTGTCTGAGAGACACCAGACTCAGTGAATATAGTTTTTGAGACCTGTGCCCCAAGTAGGAGGTCCAGGCCTCCTGCAGCAGCTCAGGATACCCACTGGGCCATCTCTCCAGCCAATTAATTTTTCAATTTGTGTGTATAAGGGGACATAGTATGCACGGTTGCTGTGGATACGTGCACATGTATACATGTGTATGTCTTTCCTGGATTGTTCTCCATCTTTAGGTTTTTGTGGGAGAGAGGCAGTGTTTCTCTGCATAGTCCTGGCTGTCCCGGAACTCGCTCTGTGGACAAGCCTGGCCTCAAACTCGGAGATCAGCCTGCCTCTAGCTCTGAGTGCTGGGAGTAAAGGCATACGGCAATATGCCTGGTTTCCATCTTTAGTTTTTAAATACCGCTTATATGTCTGAGTATTTTGCCTGCATGTCTGTGTACCACGTGCATGCCTGATGCCTATCAAGGCCAAAAGAGGCTGTCAGATCCCCTTCAACTAGAATTATGGATGGTTGTGAGCCACCATGTGGGTGCTGGGGACTGAACCCTAGTCCTTTGCAAGAACAATAAGTGCCCTTAACTGTTGAGCCATCTCTCCAGCCCCCACCCTACCAACCACCTCTTAAAAAAAAAAATAAGTAACTTCTTAAACAAAAAAGCAACAAGCTCATCTGGGAGCTCCTGGCTGTTTTGTGTGGGTCAAGCAGGGATGGGTAGGATCTGAATGTCCGGTGGGTCTTTTCTTTTTCCTTATAATTTATTTATTCTTTCAAATTTCATTTTACATTCCAACTACAGTTCTCTCTCCCACCCCCCTTTACCTCCCCCCAAGCCCACCCCACTCCACTCCTCCTCACGGGTAAGGGCTCCCATGAGGAGTCAACAAAGTCTGGTACAATAGGTTGGTGTGGGACCAAGCCCCTCTCCCATGCATTAAGGCTGAGCATGGCCTCCCACCACAGGGAATGGGCTCCAACAAGCTAGCTCGTGTACCAGGTTTGTATCATGGTAGTACTGGTCTATCGGCTCTTTTATGTATGTCTCCTGCTTCCTCTAACACTTTCACCTTAGGGAAAGGAGGGTGGAGCTTGCCACTTACCCCGTAATAGCTGCAGCAGGCTCCCCTTGGGCATGAGCTCCGTGATGATGTAGACAGGGTCCCCTGCAGATGCTACAGCATACAGTGCCAGGATATGCTTGTGCCGGAGTTTCTTCATGGCCTGGATCTCAGACTGGAAGGTGTGCTGGTGCAGGAGGTTGTCTGAGAGACACCAGGCTCAGTGAATATAGTCTTTGAGACCTGTGCCTCCTGCAGCAGCTCAGGAAATACAGTCTGCCTAGGAAGACAAAGGCTAGCCCCCAAGCTACAACACTAAAGCCACCACCACCAAGGCCTTAGTGTCCCAAGCCTGATGTGTCCATCTGCCCTCCTATGCCCCACTTGGTCACAACGGCCAGAGTCAAAATTTTACAACTGGATGTTTTCAAGGTCTTGACTGACCTGATCCTTGAGGTATCATGTATAACCCTGTGGTTGAGGCTGGGATTCTGGGTGAAACTCAAATTTCCAGTGACGTTTCAATAAAAATTGGGCGCAACTGAAAGGAATTACTTCCACCATGAAGCTGTAGGTCCCCCGTAAGACTAGAAGTGCCCACTGGTAGGACCCAGTGGGAAAGTAGCGCGAGACCAAGTTGAGTTGGGCCTGAACCTGCTCACCTCTAGAGATCACCTTCACAGCCACACGGACCTGGCCTTTCCAGAGCCCTTCGAAGACCTCCCCAAAGTAGCCGGCCCCCAGCTTCTTACGGAGTGTGAACTCCTCCCTTGGCCTCTCCCAGTCATCCCAGTGGGGCAAGGGCTCAGTTTTGTGCTGGAGAGACAGAAAGGGTGATCAAGGGTGGTGGTAGGAGTGGTGATTGGGTCACCCGGTTTGTCTTCAGGAAGGGTTTTCCCTGAACCCCACATGAGGAGCCCTATTTACCTTTAAATTTAGAGCTACACCCAGCATAGTAGTATCTGAGCATCCTGCATAAAAAATGCAGCTGTCTTTATCCACCAAGGTCAATAAGCCCCCTCAGGCAATTGGCCAATGACTCTTGTCACCCAGCCTACCATGGGTTAGAATTTAGCAGGAGCACAACTGAGCTCTGGTGAGTCAGAGTAAGAAGAGTGACTGACAGCCAAAAGGAATATCCCCTTCTGAGCCCTTCCTGCCCGCACACTGTACTGTGGCCCCCCGAGCAACTATGTCACACATGAGCCAGTGGCCTACCTTCCAGCAGGGCATGGTCAGTTGCAGGCCATGGGACAGGCTCTGCGTCTTGTGGTAGTCCACAAGCTCAGATAGGCTGGGGAAGGATACCGCCTCATTCAGATGCAGCCGGCCCACATCATCCTTCCAGATCCTGTAATGTCGCACGACCTGAGAATCCCGCACTGGGGTGGGTGGCCGGAGGAAGGAGGCATAAGCAGGCATTCTACCTTGTATGTCCCCCACTTTGCCTGCCCCTGCTCCCACCCTGGACACTGCCTGCACGCAGCTACCTGGCCTTCCTGTCATAAGCCATGGTTGTTCTGTTTCCTGCACTGTGCACAGTGGAACACCCCACAGAGCCTTGGCTTCTATGACACACACAGGACATGCCAGAAAGCACAGGGAAACAACCCAACCTGGAGTGCCTGGCTTTGTGCCTCAAAGGCTGAAAGTGAGTAGCTGGACCACAGGGAGGGGTCAGGGCTTCCAGTGGAAGAGGAAGATGTCCCAGACTTCACAATCAGAAGAAAGGCAGATAGATCACCATGCTGTCAGGAAAGCCAGCATAGATGAGGGAAGGTCTGAGAAGCAGTACCAGAGAGAACATAGTCTGCTCCTGGCTTCTGGCTGACTCTGACCAGGAAGGCACCCCTTGAGTTGTCCTCTGCCTGTAGCCTGTGCTTGGCCTCTAAGCGGGAGATGCAACCAAAGAACCACCTGCAGGGGAGAAAGTCAGCCTCAGCCTATTGATTCTCACCCCAGCCTCGCATCCACCCGGTTTCTCAACAATCTAACCTTTGCCCTGCCTATCTGGAGTCCTATCTCACACTCCCAACCCCAACTAAGCAGATTCTCTCTCATGCTGCTCCCAACCTCTCGGTCCAGCGTGAGCCCTGAAAGACCTAAATGGCTAGTTCTAGACACCAGTACATGTCCTGGTGGCCCAGCAGTGGGATCATTGGGCAAGCACTACCTACCATCCTGCTCTGAAAAGATGACCACCTGTGGATCAGTCTATCCCCCAAGGCCTGCAATTCCATCGTGTGGATGTCTGGTAACTGGTTGTGGGTCCAGAGCCACAGACGCCAGCCTTGGCCCAGAAGTAGGAGGGAGAGATAGCTCAACAGCATCTCCCCAGTGCTGCTTCCTGGCTTATACTTTCAAACATGCATTTACATAATGCATTTGTATAGCCATTTGCACTTCTGTGCACAGACACGAATTCCTAGCCATGCATTCACATTTGCATACTTGCACAAGTACATAAATTCTTACGAAAGTACGCACACCCTTATGTGCTTGCACAGACACAGTGGCACATGTTTATTCTCCCATTCAAAAGCATTTGTACACGCTGGCTTTTAACATGAGGGGTGGGACCTGCCTGAACTGAACTACAGGTAAAGTCCTTGGAATTCCATAGGTGATCTCTGTCCATGGCATCTCCAACGCCCTCAAGAGCAGATGGAACATGGGCTCCGTGTAGGAGCCTAACATTCAGCTCAGGCCCTTGAAGCCCACCTCCTCAGGTCCTGCAAAGCTAAAGAATCTCGCCTACTCACCCCTCTGACCACTTTGCCTCCTCTGCTGTGCTCCTCCTCTGACTCATTCAGACCTTAGGGCCTTTGCTCTTACCATGTTGGCCACATGATCTCTACTCTCTCCTCCCTCTCCTCTCCTTCCTGTCCCTTTCCTCTTTCTCCTCCTTCCTTTCTCTCCCTCTCTCTCTCCTCCCTCTCCATTCTCTCTCTCTCTCTCTCTCTCTCTCTCTCTCTCTCTCTCTCTCTCTTCCTCGATAGAACTTCACTATGTAGAACAAGCTGCCCTGGAATTTAGAGACCCATCACCTCCTGAGTGCTAAAGGCTTATGCCACCACCTGGCTTTTCTCAGTCTTTCATATACACCACCCATGCCTACCTTGTTCCCATCATGAGCCCTGTCTCCGTAACTGTCTAAGGTACCATTTATTACTCTTGCTTCTTGTCTCCTTGTGTGCTCATAATCTTCCATTGAGCACAACAGATGCTCACTGTGAGATGAGTTGGGGGGGGCTCTAAGGAGCAAAACAAGAAACCCCTCCTGCTAGACCCTTCCCAGCCTTAGCTCAGAGCTAAATAGCTTGGGTACTTACTTGGGTGGCTGTGGCCATGCCAACACCAGGTACTACTGTAGTTCCTTAAAGACTAGGGGCTCAGGTATGTGTGTGTCCAGGAGCAGTACTCTAAGGTGCTTGAGGGGACATGAAAAACTGCGTGCACCACATACCCCCAGCAGGTGACACAGACAGGTGTGCCCCAGCTCACATCTCTTTTAACTAGGTTGCAAATCTGGTTCTGGCTGTTTGGAAAGTGAGCAAACTTCACACCCCCAACAGCCCTTGAATTCCCACACAGATGTAGTCTCTCACAGCCAGCATCCTAAGAAAATCCATACTAGGCCCTCTGTCCTATCTGGGTCCTAGCAGAACAGCACATATGGGAAATGGTCATGGGTGGGTCAAAAGGAGAGGTCCCACTCCCCAGTGTCACACAGAGGTCTGGCCCCACCAGCAACCCTGTGTACCAGAATGTCAAGGATCAGAGTACGACCTTATACCTCCCAACTTCCCCAGTCCAGCCCAATGTCCACCCCACCCCCAGCCCTGTGCCAGCTCTCCAGGGCCACTCACGGCTCAGACTCCACAGTTTCCTTCTCAGCCAGGTAATTGTGGGGCACGTAGCCCTCAGCCAAGGCATTGCCTGCCGCATCCAGCAGGGTGGCCCACCACCACTGGTCCTCCTTCCTGATAACATGCAGGAGGTCTCCTGCCCGAAAGCTCAGTTCTTCATCTGTTCGTGCCGTGAAGTCCCAGAGGCCCATGTATTTAGGGCCCAGGTGGGTCTCATCCCAAGACATCATGGCAGGTTCAATGGTGGCAGAGGCAGCTGTGAGCTGGGAGGGGTAGGCAGGGCTTTTCCCAGCAAGCTAATCACACCTACTTCCTCATGACGGGAGGGCAGCCACACCCGGCACCCACTGGAGATCGACTATCCTGTCTCCACCCCCAAAGGCTCCTTTGCCCCCTGTATGTTCTTTTGTCCTCACTATCAAACCATGGTGAGTCAGTGGAAGTCTGCCACCTAAACAACCCCTTGACAAGACCCAGTCATGGGTTACATGGAATAGCCCACTAGATGGTGAGCACAAGTATCAGCTGAACCCTTAGCCCCTGGGGTGTGAGTCTTGGAGCCAAAGAATGGGGAGGGGAGTGGGTGGAGGGCAGGTTGCTAGAACACACAAGAACAGAATAGAGAGCAAGGTGCTGCCTTTTCTACAGAAAACAAAACAAACCTCTCCTATACTGACTGGTGCCTCCTGCACACACACTAATAGAGTTATGAAGGACTTGGCGGTCCTGACAGCCACCTCCCTGGGAAGATGTCCACCCACCAGATAGGACTACATCTAGGGATGACATCAAGAGAATCAGGCAGAGCCTGTGTTGGAAACAAGGGTAGGAGGGACCTGCGTGAGCCCTTCTACAAAACTCTGGTTCCTTGAAGTGAGGACACACAGATGCCCATTTATCCTGAAGAAGCCACCCAGGACAGCATGCTAGACCACAGCCTGACATCTGGGGAGACAAGAGCCAAGGGATATGAAGGCATGAGCATCCATATGGGTTATGGGCTGACTTGGAGGACTTCCTGGTATCTTCAAACATGACTGTAGTCCATAGACCTCAGCTCAAGCAGCAGGCACTGTCCTGTCTTTCCAGATAAAGACACAAGAGGGCAGCCACAGAAGGTAATGACTAGGAAGTGTCCACACCGCCAGGGCCTCTGCAGCACCACCTCCCTCTTTCCCCAGGCTTCCCTTCTGCTCGGTGCTCGATACCCATACCCCCTGCTGTGTCCCTTTTCCCCTCATTTCCACGCAATTCTCAACAGCTCTGCTTGTGACTGCTCCCGTCTTCCTGCCTCCCCCCCCTCCTCCCCGCACCATGAAAACTCAAGATTCCCTCTCTCCAGAGCAGCCCTAACCACCTTTGTCACTCAGCAGACCCACTATGGGGTGCTCCTACTTAGGGGTCTGGAAGACAGCCACAGAGAGGGATGGGGAGGGAAAATGGCAAGTCTATAAGGACAAGGGACATGGGAAATAACACTGTGGGGCTACCTATTTGAATATATATGCACACACACACACACACAATTTTTTAAGGCGGGGGAGTGTGGTGGTGGTGCTGCTGCTTCATGCTAAGGAGCAAATCCTGGTTCACATGCATGGTAAACAAACGTTCTACCAGTGAGAACTAGGCCTTGAATTTTCTTTCATTGAAGAGATAATAGCACTACTCACCTACTACCTATGGGGATCAAGAACAGCCACATGTTGTTAGTAGTAGCTCCACACCTAACCAGCCCAACTCGGTTCCCAACAAGGTGTGGGGGGAGGGGTATCACAGGAAGCGGAAAGGAGGGAGGGCGGTACTGGCATAGGTCAGCCTCAAGAACTCCATGGTTGCCTTCCCTGTCTGCTCCAGAGCCCTCGAGTCTTAAATCTCTGAGTTCAAGCTGTATCCCAGAAAGCCACATATACCTAGATGAGACTTGTGGACAGCTCTATAGAAGATATAGAGCTCAAAAGTCCCTGACCTCTCCCAGGAGGGCCAGACCTGTTCATCTTTGGCTGACTAAACACACAGGAATGTGCCAGGACCCAGCCAAACCTGCTTCCATGGCTTGGCCACAAGCCCAACACCATCTTTCTCCCCAGGCTGTGCCATCCTATCTCTAGTGTCCTCCTAGTGTGACTCATGGTAGCCCCTTAACATCACAAAGCTATCATCTTATGCCATGCAAGCCCTTGAGCCCACATTGCTGCTCTGTGCTGGCAAAGCAGGGAGCCCACAGCAGCCAACTGTCAGTTTCAGATTCTTCTGCTCAAGAGGTCAGAGCTTCAGTCCCATTTCCCCCTTCCCCCTCCAAAGACCAATGTTAGCACACTCTGTCGGGCTGGCCTCCACAGCTCCTAGGAGCATCCTGTTCTGAACCTGCAGCCGGGTTGATGTGGGTCCCATAGTGACTAAGCCCCACCAACTCTGTGGTGCATCCATGCCTTCAGTGCCCCCCATCCAGCTCTGCCTCCCCATGAGAAAGCCTGTGACTGACTAAGACCCAAACTCCTTGTGTAGCTAAGGCTCACATGAGGCTCAGTTCCCAGCTCCCTCTTAGCCAACCCACAGATGAGGTTGGCGATGAGGTTAGCAAATGCGTCTCCGTGAGTACAGAGCTGGCCCCAAATTCCAGCCCTTCTCAGGGACTGCCAGCCTTTCTGCCTTATAAACCTTCTATATACAGCTACAGGGAGAGTGAAATGACCTTGGATCCCTGAGCACAGCCCCCAGCGTGCTGCTCCTAATGCCCAAAAGTGTTGAATGACTCAGGACCCAACTTCTGAAGGTGTCCCGCTCAAACACAAAAGTGACCCATGGGGGGCTTTGCCCCAGAAGGTAGATTATCTGGTTGTCAGCATTCTACCTATATCTGCCTAATCCTGCCAACCAGAAAATTCTGCCTCCTAACCACTGCTCTTTCTAGAAATTCCACCCTTCTGCATCTGGAAAAGGCCTGGGAGTGCTGACTACCAACCAACCAACCAGTCTGCCCTTTCTGAAACTGAAGAGCCTTCTGGCTTCAAGTCTGGGTCAGGGAGCTGGAAAGGGCTGTTCCCTTGGCTCCAGCAATCTCCACCATTAACGTCATGGGGGTCCACACTGTAACGCAACTCTGGCTCTGGGGTGTGGTTCACCTCTTCCTCCCATCCTTGAGAGCCCCCAACACTTCATTCTGGGAGCTGGTAGGTGAATCCATTGGAGCATGTTTATTGAAGCTGACTCTGTGTGCCTAGGGTTTGTCAGTACCTGTGGGGGCAGTGGGTATGGGCAGGTGATGCTGCTGTCCCCTGTGAGTACACAGCACGTACTGGTGAGATATGCTTGGGAGCCCTAGCCCTGGGTACCTAACCAAATCCACAGTGAGACCAGAGAAATCAGGCTTCTCATCCTTGATCCTAGGAGAGGGCTGAGGGAGGGCAGGGTGTCAATTGCTGCCTCTGCTGGTTCTCCTTTGCCCAGCATCTCCTCACAGACCCTCCTCTATACTTTATCAACAGTTTGGAGACACCAGGAATTCAGACTACGCCAGGAGGAGGGCATCAGCCTTCATTCTAAGTGAGTGCTCATGACCAGGTCCAGTCCGCATTCGTCTGTCCATCTGGTGTGCACACACCAGCACACCAGCCTATGCCAGGGAAGGAGCCCCGGTGTTGCATTCTCTGAGGCTGTTGCCATTCCCAGTTGTACAGCATCTCCCATGTGTGTTGGTGACAAGCGAGACGCCCTTCCGGAAGCAGTTGCCATAACTGCTGCATGTGGGGCTAGAGACTTGGGTCACGTGAGGCTCGGATGGAGCCGTCTGTGTATGGCACTCATCTTCTCCCTCAGTGTGGCGAAGGTGGGGCGCTCTTCGGGGCTGCCCTTCCAGCACTCCACCATAAGCATGTAGACCTCTGCTGGGCAGGCAGCTGGGCGTGGCAGCCGGTACCCACGACTGATCTGCTGTAGTGTCTCATGGTTGGTCATTCCTGATAAAGGGCCGGCAAGAAGAGGAGCCAGGCAGCAGCTGCCCTTGTTGATTCTGCCTGGGTGTCACCAAAGAGATTCCCCCAACCCTATCCTCTGCATGACCAGTCTGTGCTGGTACTCCAGCCCACTGACTTTTGGGAGTCAGTGACTCCCAGGGCAGGGTATATCTCCTCCCTCAGGATGGACCCCAGGCTACTTCCCACAGACTAAACTTTCCCTGATGAATCATGGTTTCCTCTCAGATGGCTCACCTTCATAAGGACACTGGCCATAAGTGAAGACTTCATACAGGAGGATGCCAAAGGACCAGACATCTGATTTTTGGGAGAAGATGCGGTAATTAGCGGCCTCAGGTGCCGTCCACTTCACAGGGATCTTGGAGCCACTGCTTGGGGAGTAGACATCATCCTGGGGATGAGGGGTAATGGAGGGGAATTCAGAGTAATGCCTTCCCCTCTGGGGAGGGGGGCTAGGAGCCTAGAGCCCCACTGACCTTGAGCAGCCTGGCCAGGCCGAAATCAGCCACCTTGCAGGTGAGGTCATCACCCACCAGCACGTTCCTGGCAGCCAAGTCCCGGTGAACAACACGACGTTCTTCCAGGTAGCTCATGCCCTCAGCTACCTGGCAGGCAAACCCCAGTAGATGAGGTAGGCTCAGAGCCTTTCCCTCAGGGCCTGCAGAGAGAGGAGCTGGGTGGCAGTACTCCTGAGGGCACAGGGTGACGGCTGACAAGTGTGTGTGTAAACATGCGTCCTCTGTGCTTTGGATCCCCCCATCTGAGGGAGTGAGAACAGCACCACCTACTAAGGCCTAGTAGGCAATGAATACAATTTTAAAAAGGAAGTCCTATAATCACCACAGGCCTCAGTGCAAGCTGTTTTTTGGCACCTGCCTGGATCCTCAGGGGAAAACAGTACCCAACCCGGACTCCAAGGCAACAGATCAGAGGTGATGCAAAGGAGGTGGGGGGGGCTTCTCCTGCTTGTACTGCAGTCCCAGCCTCAGAACCACCAGGCTTTGATTCTCTCCTTTAGCCAATCTAGGTCTGGCCCAGGTGCCTCTTCTGATCAGAGGTCCAGTAAGACCAGGTGTCTGCAACCTAGGCCACATGTGTCCCTTCCAAAGGGCTACGGACTCTTCTTTTTGGACCCAAGGCATGAATGTTATGAGGGTTAGTAGATGTGGCTGCACAGGGTAATGTCAGAGAGTGTATTCACTGCCCAAGTGGAGGGTTCTTACTGCCCAGGTAGACCTGCAAGTTGCCCTTGCCCATGAGTTCGGTAACGATGTACACAGGTTCACCGACGGAGCATATGGCATGCAGCCGGATCAGCCGCTCATGCCTCAAGCTCTTCAGTGCCTCAATCTCCTTGGTGAGGTCTGCCAGTTTCATGTCAGCTGTGGAAAAGATGCCGCTGTAGGACTCTGCATGGCCACCACTGCCCCCAGGCTCCAGGGTCAAAGGGCAGTGCTGCCCAAACCTGGCTGCAAAGCCTCACCTGATTTGATAACTTTCACCGCCACAGGCATAGAGCCCAGCCACAGGCCTTCCCACACCTCCCCGAAGAAGCCTTCACCCAGCTTTCTCCGAAGGACAAACTCTGAGCGTGGCCGTTCCCATTCGTCCTGAGCCAGGGGTATCTGCAGGAAGGGACACTCAGTGTGTTGCCTGAGACTCACCTAACAGAGTGGGCAGGAAGGCTGAGCTACCGTTTGAACCTAGCCTCCAGCATCAGACCTCAGTCTCTCCCTCCCAAGCACACCCTCACTCCAGGCCCAGGCAGAGACAAGGGGGAGACCAGAGATGACCTCCAGGAAGGCCAAGCCAAGAGCTATGAAGCTAATCGCTTCAGGGACCTATGAGGCCCCTTTACCAGAGCCGGACATCCGTCTACAAACACTCATTACAATCCCTGGCTAGGCTGTCATTACAGAACCAGAGGAACCAGATTGCTGCCCTGGACCCAGTAATACCAGATACTGAGGGAAACAGTATCTCCTCTCTCAGCTTCTGCCCTCAGGACTTGAAGCAGCTCTGGGTGCCTTCCCACACTAGCCTTGACTCCTCCTGATGCCCTACAGAACTGGGTGCATCTTATACCCCTCGAGGGTCCCTGCTCTTCCAACAGCCTCAGAGGAGCTAAAGCTGGTGAAGGGGACCAACTCCATCAGATAAAGAAGCCATTGGACACTGGGTATTCCTAGCCAGACCTAGCCAAGAAACTCTAAGACAGGGTCCTCAGTAGTCCCCAGATATGAGGAATGTCTCAGATCATCCACCTGGGGTATGCAGGGCTGTAACAGAGGGTTCTGGATCAGCTTCCAGTTTGTCTTGTAGTAATCCAGTAATGCATCCAGGCTGGGGAAGAGCCGGCCTTCCTGCAGGTAGAGGCTGCCACTGGGTGCCATGCAGATGCGGTAGTGGCAGACTTTGGTCTGGGCCCGGACTGGAATCAGAGATGGAAAACATTGCCTTGGCTGCACCTGCTTCAGGCACCCACAGCCCAGCATCCCAAGTGGCTTCACTCAGATCGGCCATAGGGTCACTGAGGTGAACAATACTCTGTGCAAGAGAGGACATGGGTAGCTGTAGGCCACAGGACAGCCAGAGGACCCTGGGGACAAAAAGTGTTACATAGGTATGTGTTGAATGAAACACTAAGTCCACTAGGTGGTGAATGGAGGAAGTGAGGAGGAAGAGAGGAAGGGAAGGATGGAGGAAGTGGAGGAGGGGGGAAGGAGAGAGGAGGAGGGGAAAGGAGGGAGGAAACTTGGTGACTACCATGTCTATAGGAAGGGCTACCAGTATAGGGATTAACCCCTCCAAGGCTGGCCTGGTAGAGCTTAGCAAGATAGCCCAGGATGCGAAGTTTTGAGGGGTTGTCTGGGTACCTGACAGAGAATATCCCCCGATGCTGCTTTCGCTGGGCCGGATGAGGAAGGCCCCTGGGGCGTTGGCAGGAGACAAGAGCAACTGCTGGGCCTGAGTCCTGCTGATCCCACTGAAGTACCAGCTGCAAATGCAGAACACAATAGTCATCTTTCGGGCCCAGCGTGTGACCCAGGCAAGATGTGAGACCTCACCTGTCCTGCTGTCTCTCATGGAGAAAATGTGCCCAGCACCTGAAGCTGGGGTCCCAAACTACCAGGTGACTGGCATCTCCTTCATATGGGTATGACTGTCCACTAACTCTGATATAACTCTTGTTCCCTGATCAGAAGGTAACCACCAGGCATCACCAAAAAGCTAACAGCCCCAGACAAAGATCAAAACCCCAAGACAGGATCTCATTGAGTAGCCCTAGCTGGCTTGGAACTCACTGTGTAGACAAGGTTGGCCTCAAAGGTCTATCTGGCACAGCCTCCAAGTACCGGGATTAAAAACACATACCACCATGCCTGGCTACTCCCTTCATTCTTAGGAGTCAGAAACAACCTCAGGAAAACAAAGTCACTCCCAATTCTATTCCATTGTAAGCAGCTCTGCTCCCCAAGGCCCAGACAATGTTGCACAGCTTGCTTGACTTCACATCCAAGCTTTTCCACTTCCAAGAGCTTCCAGAAACCCAGTGGGTTGGGGACCACAGCAATGCAAAAAAAGGCCTATGAACTTAGTCCTTCAGTCCCTTCAGATGGAGGCAAGGTAGTAGGGGACACTTGGTGTGAATCAGGTTAGCCCATAAGAGCAGACAGCCCAGCCCCACTCCTAGGGATACACGGGATATACAGGGTGTGGGCCTGGGCTGGATGGAGCAGGAGGGATGAGCATGGCTGAGACAGAAAGATTAGCAAATAAAGGGACAGAGGCCTGAGAAGCAGGAGTTAGAATCGGAGGGCTGAATGAGTGTAAGGGGCTGTCAAGGATACAGATGGAGCTGGACAACCAGCTCAGGGAAGTCCACAGATTCATTTCAGAAGCTGCAAGTTTCCTGTCTTTCTACTTCTAAGGGCCAGAGCCCTTACTTAGAGGATCTGTACTCCGGGAATTGAGACCTGTCAGGAGAAGAACCCCAGGACAAGACTATGGAGAACCAGAAGTGGAAGTTTCTCCAACATAGCCCCAGCCTTTCCTTGAAGCCATGACAGGGCACAGACCACTGTGGAATACAGCTGGGCTTCTGTGGCAGCCTCAACTATGGAGAACATGCCTCAAGGGTCTCTCTCTGGATTATAGGGCCAGGCTCTGGGACTAATGACACCATAAGTGTGGTCAGCTCTTTGATCTCCAGGCCCAGCCAGTCATTAGCTCTCCCACCAGCAGCCCTGCCTCCAGGAGCCCAGCCCTGCCTGTCATGCCAGTAGCCTACAGGACCTGTTCACAAGTTCTTTCTGCCACACCTGAGAGACCCCCTCCACCAAAACAGCTACCTGGCCTAGTCTACCCACTGCTGAGGACCAGCAAGCAGGCAAGGGACAAGTACCTAGATTCCTTTCTATGGCTCCATTTCACCTACCACACAAAACCTCCTGCGAGGCTGTGCTCAGGGATCCTCAGGATCTGAGCGATGCTAATGCCTGAGGTTTGTATGCAGATGACTCAGGCTGGGACCTGCTGAGTGCAAGACCAGAGACAGTTTCCTAGAAAAGTTCTTGAGCTTTCGACTGGTTCCTGCCCATGACCCTGCTGCATCTTTGCTGGTATGCAAGAGTTGAGCATCGAAACCAGCCACTGCAGTGACTTCCCAGCCTTGGGGGGCAAAGAGTAGGCTCTCCACTGTACCCACTCACCAGAACAAATCAATCAGGGGTATATCTGCCTCACACTCAGACTGTTTGAGGTGGTTGGGTGAATATGAGTAGATAAGAGGGGCGGGTGAACAATTGGCTCTGGCCTGGCTTGCAGTGCCTGGAAGGACTGAAAATGGCTCAGGTGTAGCCCCCAGCTTTCCAATCAGTGCAACAAGATGTCACCTGGCAAAGACATCTCAAAGCTCAGCTCCTGGCCTGGAAGCAGCAACCATTCACTGCATAGTGTAGCAGCCTCTGTATAGAGGCAGGGTCCTGCAGGGACTATGCTGAGTGTCTATCTGGTCTATCCAGCAATTGGTTCCCTGGACTTGCTCACTCCTAGGCCCCCCTCCCAGCAATGTAGTGATTCCTGTTTACTGACATGACACCCCTGTGTCAGCTCAACCCAGTGTTTGCAAGCCCTCAATAAGCCCTTACTGACTGTAAGCAGGTTATTTCCTACTCTCAAAACCCTGACATACTCCACTGGGCATGGGCAGCCTTTTAGCCTTACCTCCCAAGCCCAGATACTTACGGTTGGTCTGAGGGTGTCTCAGGGGTGGCCTTGGCAAGATAGGTGACTGGAACCAGTCCCGTACTGGGTGGCCCAGAAAGCCTTTGTGCAAAGATGTAGTCACCCTCCTCCTTGAGGGCGTAGAGCCTGTCCCCGCGACTGACACTCAGTTCCTCTGCACACCGAGCAGTGAAGTCGTAGAGCGCACGAAAGAGTCGGGCACGTGGGGCGGGAAAGCTGCAAGGTTCAAAGGCAGCGGGCTGCTCCAGCACTGAGTTGTCGTCGAGTCCCTGGAACCGGGGGATGTCTTCCTCCGAGTCACCCGCTGGCCAGATCTTATCCCAGAAAAAGGACAAGAAAGTAAGCCTCTTCCGGAAGAAGGGCTCCATGCCTAGGGAGCCTGGTTGTGGACGAAGGCGCATGGAGCCGACTTGGGTCGGTTTTCTGAGTTCTCAGTGCTGCCGCTGAGAAGGCTGGGCACTACAGCCATGCACCAAGGAGTCCAGGGTATGAGTGAGAAACCAGAAAGGCTAGGGGGGCAGACAGGGCAGCCTGTGCTCTCTGCCCACGTCCCTACTTGCCACAGGATGGAAAATGACAGGTGACACAGACCCTAGCCCTAACCCCGGAGGTCATTACAGAGGGCTCCTCAATCAGGCACACAGCACGTGTCAGCTTCCCGAACGGCGTATCAATGCGTGGGGCCGAGAGTGACCTCCGGCCCAGGGCCACACGGGCTGCTCCTCCTATCTTTCCACAGCTGTGCAGTCTGGTGAGTAGGATTTCAGCTAGGGTTAAAAGCAGCTGAACTAGCTCCTAAGGCTAGACGGAGATGGGCGGAGCCTATGGGAATGGGCGGGGCGGGGCGGGCCTACTGGGACACGCTGCTCTTTACCTCCCCACAGGTTACCGGGGCCTGCTCTGCCCTGCTAGCCTGGCATTGGCAACCAGCAGCGTCCTAGGAGAGTGGGGTCTGTAGAGGAAGCAGCTCATTATCACTAGCTAGATTTCTGTGAAACACTATTCGGCTTTTTAAATGTTAGCTAATTCTTTAACATAATCCCACCCACCCCCGTCCCCTCCCCCCAGGATTCAAGGGCAGATGCCAGTGGGTATGGGCAGCCTGTCCAACTTGGTGGTGGCCTCTGCAGCAAATGCTCAACACACAGTAAGCTCTTGGCATCCTGATCCCTGGGTTGAAAATGCTGGCAGTAATCTCAGGGGGATCAGTGAGGGGCCAGGTACATAGGAGGTGTGGCTGGAGAAGGGTTTCTGAGCCACTTCATGGTCAGATGATGTTTAACACCACTGAAGAGAGGAGATGTGGATATCTAGGAGTCCAGCTTGCGGATATGGTCAGCAAGGAAAGAACAGTGGATAAGCCTCAGACAGACTCTCACCTAGCTCTGAATTCTCTTATGTGTAATGAAGCAAGCTGCCTGCCACCCAATTTATTTTTTAAATTAATTAATTTATTCATTTTTACTAAGTCAGGAAGTGGGGACCAAGCTCCAGCAGAGCTCAGTTCTTGAATATGTTCCTGTCTGAGTCTGAGGAGGGGGTCTTGCCTGCAAGCTCTCTGGCACCCTTGCTGGCTTCTCTCTTCCAAGCTACTAAGCTTCCATATATAATTGCTGCAGACCCTTCCTCCACTGTTTATCCTTCAAACATATCCAACAGGTTTCTTCCCCACCTAGCCTAGAGAAGTACAGACTTTTCTCTAAAGCACCTGGGGCAATTTTTAAGTTTATGTGTACCAGAGATACCTATGAGCCCAATGGTTTTGCCATCACAGCAGCCCATGTAGCTGAATCCCAGTTCCTGGCTTGAGCAGCCAAGGACAGGCTCCATGTCATAGAGATACAGCCTGGTGGATGTCCAAAAGAGTAACTATAAATATAAAATTTGGGGCATTCCCAAAGGGGCCTTGATGCTCACATCCACCTGCCTTGCTGTATAAATGGCGCCCTCAATATTATCCATGTACCTCCCTGATAAGAAATTAAGCTTCCTGGGGGCTGGATTGATGACTCATCGGTTAAGAGTCCTGGCTGTTCTTTCAGAGGTTCTGAGTTTAATTCCCAGCAGCCACATAGTGTCTCACAACCGTCTATAATGAGATCTGGTGCCCTCTTCTGGCCTGCAGGCAGAACACTGTATAAATAATAAATAAATAAACCTTAAAAAAAAAAAAAGTAAACACAGAAATTAAGCTTCCTATCTTCTGGCTGTGGAGCCACAAGGGAGATCCTGTCTGCACAAATCACAGTGAGGTCAGGCTCAGGGCATTGATGTAGATTCCTCCTGGACACTCCCTTGCCCCTAAAGCCACTGGATTCTGGTCTCAGGGAGTCAGCACATTCTGTGTGTAGCTGGGGCCAAAGGCAGGCTGATGGTCAGGAACAGAGGACCCTGCCCTTCCCCCTATGACCTGCTCTCCAGTCCTCATCCCCAGACCTTTCATCAGCTCAAAGAAATGCTGACAGTCAGGAGACTGACAACTGCTGTCAAAAAAGCCTCGAGGTAAAGGAATCTTCCTCCTCCTATAGATAAGGAGCATTCAGTCCTTCCCCAAGAGCAGAGCAGGGAGAGAATTTGTAGGACCCAGCTCTCAAAAAGCAAAACGGAACAGAGAGTCCCACCCATTCCAGGAACCAGAAGAGACAGGATTGTATATTCTGTGCCATTGTATGTTGCAAGCATGTAATTTGCCTTTTGGTTTTAATTTTACCAGGGGCTTACAATTAAAGAGAGACTATCTTGAGTCCCTTGAGACTAATTTTCTAACTGGGTTGACACTCTGAAAAGGGTATGAGGACTTTTAAAGCTGGACTAAGATGCATTTTGCAGTATGATGTGAACACAAGCCTGTGGTATTCAGGAAACGGAATGTGGTGGTTTGAGTGAGAATGACCCCCATTGGCTCACATATGTCACACTTGGTCCCTAGTTAGTTGGATTGTTTGGGAAGGATTCGGTTTGCCTGGTAGGAGGAAGTGTGTCATGGGAGTGGGGGGGGGGGGAGTGAGTGAGGTTTCAAAAGCAAGCCTTAGTTAGCTTTCTCCACCTCCTTCTGGCAGATAAGAATGTTAGGCTCTCAGCTACTGACCCAGCACCATGCTTGTCTGGATCATGGATTCACCCTCTGAAATTGTAAGGCCCAATAGACTCTTCTGTAAGTTGCCTTGGTCATGGTATTTGGTCACAGCAATAAAAACTAAGACAAGGAATGACTTGGAGATGGGCTGGCCCTGCTGGACTCCATGAGGTGTCTCTGTGGCCACAGACCTTACCCTGTGTCCTGGTGTGATCTTGTACTTCAACTTTTCAAGAACTTGCATCTTGGAAAATGGGTGAAGGATAAGTGGGATTGTAGGGTCATCACTCTTTACAACTGCAGTGAGCCAAGGGAGATGGTACACGCCTCAATCCTAGAGTTTGGGAGACAGAGGAAGGTGGATCTCTGTGAATTTAAGCCCAGCCTGATCTACAGAGTTTCAAGCCAGTGAGGGCTACATTGTGACACCCTATGAAAACAAAACAAAACAAAAACAAAAACCCAAACAAACCAAAAAGCACAGCAAAGCCTGCATGTGACTCTGCAAATCTCAAAATAACATTTTAAAGATTAGAGGAATTGGAAAGATGGCTCATAAGTTAAGAGCAGTTGTTGCTATTGCAAACCACCTAGGTTCAGTTGCCAGCATCTACATGGTGGGTGGATTGAAAACCATCCCTAACTTCAGTTTCAGGGAATCCAATACCCTCTTCTAACTTCTGTGGGCACCACGCATACACATGGTGCACATATATACATGCAGGTAAAGTAAAATGCTCATGTATATATACAAAAGAAAAAAATTAAAAAGTTAGTGGGGGATAGAGCGGGACTGAGGAGTTTGTATAGGTCGAGAACAAGCCCAACCCACCTCCTTTCTGAGGAAGCGCTGGGGGTGGGGGGCTGGTATTCTTCCTGAAGCTTTTCATTCTCCTGCCTCCTAGGGACCAATTTTCATCCTTTGAGATCCGCAGGTTACAGCTTGGTGGAATGTCAAGCAGTCGTCCCTTCCCTGCACTCCATTAGTGCCTCCGGGCTTCTTGGGCCCCAGGAGCCAGGGCTTTCTCGTTCAAAGACATCATTTCCCTTCAGGGAACCCCACTTCAAGCCAAGCCGTAAACCCAGTCACGGAACAGTTCCACTAGCCGGTGGGTCGGGCTAAGGTCGAGCTTGTTTCGAGTCCGTGGGACCCTGGCTATAAATCGCTGCTGCCGCATATCTGAGTTCGGCCCTCAAATCACCAGTTCACTACACCTGGGCCGGTGCACAGCGTCACAAGGGCCAGTGGTTCCCACGGCAACAGGTGGGCCTGAGGCAGGGGGAGCGCTGACCGGACAGTGCACCCTGCGGCTCCCGCTGGGCTCAGCAGAGGAGGCGGCGCCAGGCACTTGCAGAAGGGGATCAGGGCTCACGAGGTGATCCGGAAGAAGAGTGGTAGGTGGAGGATTTGGGGAGGTGTGCCCAGGGGCTCGGGGTGGGTAGTCTCCACAGGGGAAATAGAATAACTTAGATGGGGAAAGTAGCTTTGGAGAGCTCCATAGAGTTTTGTAGCTGCAAGGAACTGTGTTAGTTTAGGGTCCTGGAGCCCTGGTATCAGCTTGCATTCAGCCAGGAACCAGTCTTTGCTGTCCCGGATGCCTGTTTTAGCCCTCCTAACTCTTTGGGAAAGTGAAACCAACTTGGATCAACCTTACTAGCAGGGACCTGTGTGGTCATCCAGTCTCTTAGTTCTGGCTGTCATTCATCTAACCCCAGTTCCCACAACCTGAAATCTCCAAGTGAAGCCAATGGCCCAGTGCTAGGGACAGCTGGCAGGATGTTGGTCCCTTCTCCAGGGAGCTCTGGCATTTTGGGCTGTGTAGCACATCAGCCTCTCCACAGACAGCCAGATTTTGGGACCAGGTATGCAGACAAAAAGAGGAGGGCAGACTTCAACGATTCCAACATTGTGGTAAACTGGATACAATAGCATTCACCCCTGAAGTCTCAAGAGGGTGTGATGAGAAGGCTTTTAGCACAGGAGTTGGAGGTCAGCCTGGACAACAGAGCGAAAGTTAACCGTGGAGGAAGACCAGCCTACCAAGCTTTCACCCCTATCTGTGGGATGGTGGGATGGAATCTGCTCTGTTCCTGGGCACACAAGGCCCCTCTCCATGTGAGGATGATGTAGAGTCCAGTAGCAGTGCTGAGGTATACCAGATCTCTGGAGAGTATTGGGATGCATGGGCAATTAATCAGTGCCCCAAGGGTCACCCCAGAGGCAGCGTCCATTATCCATGGTAGGTGAGGAACCTGAGGCTTGGACCCGTCTCATCTCAGAGCCTCATTCCAGACCACAGCTGACCCTATAGCTCACTCTCAGCCCTGTTAGTTCATCACCATGAAAGACTGTTGGTCCCTTGATAGAAGTTTCCCGTCCATCATCTACTCTTGTCTGGTACCAAGCCTACTATTCTTTCCCTCCAGGGGTCTCTACTCAGAAGGCTGTGGTCCAGGGGAGAGCAAAGGCCATTTATGGGGCAGAGGCTGATGTGGGGAAGAAGGCCTAGGTTAAGGGAAGAGCCAGTCTGATTGTCACAGCTGATGCCTAGTCCTTACCCTCAGCTCCTAGACAATGA